TATATATATATATATATATATATATATTGTGTATGTGTAGTAAACAGAAGGCGACACTGCATGGAATACTGTGTCTCACAATGCAATACACTTGGAATTACCCCTATTTCCACTGTGAAGATATTACTAATATATGTAGTTTACATAATACTCAATACTTGACATTATTTTTTAAAATTTTTTACACAAAATCTGATTTAAAAAAAAAAAAAAGATATTGTGGCCATGAATTAAAAAACTGCTCCCATGTCTCATCAAATTGTTCCCTCATTTTAGATAAAATTGTGATCACGATTCAACTAAATGAAAAAGAAAATACAATGTGGCCACTATTTAACTAAAATGAGGGAACAAATTAATACAAATTTTTTACACAAAATCTGATTTAAAAAAAAAAAAAAGATATTGTGGCCATGAATTAAAAAACTGCTCCCATGTCTTATCAAATTGTTCCCTCATTTTAGATAAAATTGTGATCACGATTCAACTAAATGAAAAAGAAAATACAATGTGGCCACTATTTAACTAAAATGAGGGAACAAATTAATACAAGTGGCCACATATTAATAAGCTTTGGCAACAAATTCTTAATTAATGGCCACAATGTCTTTTTTTTCTGTTCATGTAAGGGGCTCCATATAAAACATGATTTATTCTTTTTTTTATTGAAATGAAAGCCTGATTTAAATGTGCATTTACCATTTGAATTTCACATACTTTTAAAAAAAAATAGTAAGCAACACACAGTATATACTGTACTGTACTGTCTAGTATGTAGTATGCTAGTATTCCATTCTAAACACAGCCAAACACACTCACCAGTGCTATTTATATAGCAAACACTGAATACCTGCTGCAGGTAGGGGCCACAGAAAGGGAAAGCACAAAGACAGAGGGGAAAGGAGGGAAAAACTGAATGAACAGGGAAGGCCAGACCTATTTTGGGACACTTGTCATTTGTGCAATGATTTTCTGGTCAGTATGGAGAGAGTGGGTACAAATTATGTCCAATTAGGGCTTTTGAGTCCCTAATGAGGAGCCACACTCACAAGTGTCTGAGAGGCCTCACACATATTCCTACACAAAATTTATACAGAATGCAGTCTCGTTCTGCAGGAATCCTATAGGAATAATTGGTACAGAAGAAGAGGGAACTTAAAACAGTAACAAATGTGAGCCAGTTTGAAACTGATTCAAATTGTCAACAGTGGGACATTTAACAATGAAAACAACGTTCTTTCTCTGTACTTTCTCCTTTTCAAACTCCTCTCACTTTCATCCTCATACACACAAAGAGCAACACTCATCTCTGATGTGAGCGACAGCTGCGTGCTTCCTCCTCTTGTGCAAGGGAAAAACTGAATGAACAGGGAAGGCCAGACCTATTTTGGGACACTTGTCATTTGTGCATTGATTTTCTGGTCAGTATGGAGAGAGTGGGTACAAATTATGTCCAATTAGGGCGTTTTAGACAGCTGCGTGCTTCCTCCTCTTGTGCTTGATTAGGAGCTGAAGGGACCTGTCCAATCAGGCCTATTCACACAATGCCCCTGCATTCACATAAGCCCCATGACCTCCTATGACCCCTCTGGGGCTCCACCCCTTCACCTTGACCTTCAGTACACACCCTCACTCTCTTCAGCACTCCAAACCGTGCATCCAATCATGAAAAGGACCGGCAAATTAGGACCATCGGCATAGACCGGCAGAACGGCACTAGAAAGCATAGCTAATTAAAAAATCAAGTGCAAAGCTCCAAGCTCAAAACTAAACAAGAGATGGTGGGGCAACTGGAGTGTGTACACAGTGTCAAATTACAGTGGTGGGGTTCTATGTTTGAATGGCGAGAGGTTTTTTGTTGTCCTTAAAATGAAAATGGTGGCCTACTGAAAGGACCTTATCAATCAACAGCTGAAATTGCCAGTTCATACTGGCAGACTAGTAAATAAGCGACTTGGAAATGATGTCATACGCATAGTACATTCACCTTATTAGTCTACAAATTAAGATTTTAGTCTACAAATTCAGGTTTTCATATGGATTTGTGTACTTACAATCCTCAAACTTAGAGCAAGGGCTCTGATGAGTGGGCTCTGTCAGGTCTTTTCCATCCAATAATGTAAATTATGTGAAAAATGATGCGTTTTTCAAACCACCAAGCATGAGAGCATGTTCTCGTACACCCCCAAAACAAAATCAAGACTTTGTAAAAGAGCATAATAGGACCCCTTTAAATAAATGTAAGAATAAATATAAATTGTTCACAATTCTCCTAATGTATAAGTAATTTAGTGTATTTTGAAATATAAAATAGAATAAAATAAGATGTACCCCTTTAATATATCGCTATTTGAGACTACAAACAATGCCTTCTTTCTTTTTGTACCTATACTTGGCTTTTTCTGTGAATCAGATACCAATGGGCCGTCTGCGGCAGAATTCTCAAATGTTCCCCTTAACTCTTCCATTCAAAATCTACTTATTCTGTTTCCTTCCTTCTTTACACTTCATAATCACATTTTCTGTCCTTCCACAAAGACACCATTTAAAAGCAAAATGCTCTCTTGAGAGACCTGGAGGTCTGTTAATTTGCCAGCGCTCCCAAATTAGCAGCTTTCATTAGAACTCATTGAGAAGTCCTCACAAAGCACTTCCTGCGTTTAAAGACACAAAGAGTGAGATCGATTAGTACTGAACCTGTGGGGGTTTCTGGATTGTCTGTTCTTCAGCATTTAAAACACTGGTCTGTGATGTGGCTTTGTGCTAGTGTGTGAGAGAGGAGAGCAGGAAAACCAGCTCTTATTCTCATTAACACAACCACACATGAATTCCTGGGGTCAGTTTGGTAATTATTGTTTCACAAAGACACATCTTCTTGGCTTTCAGCTTTTTATCATTTTAGCCTTATGTTTTTAAATCTGAAATTACAGAATGGGCTCAAATATACAACAGTAAATGTATTTTTTCCAAATCTAAGACAGTGGTTCTCAACTGGTGGGGCTGCTAGTCTGTTCAGTGTTATAGACAGCCGGGGAAAACAATGCTAAATGCTGATAATAAAATGCAACTAATCATATAGTTGTGCAAAGTTAGTTCACTGAAAGAATTTGGTTTGTGCCAACCAAAATTTGTTTTAATGAATTATATGCTGCAGTGATTAATGTTTTAAATTTTAAAAAAAATTATATGGTTAAAAGATTATATTATTATAAAAGGTATATAAGGTATTATTAAATAATTATTTTTTTTAAATATCACCTGATTTTAAGGACATTTTTGTTCAAAATATTTGTTTTCTCTCCATAACTTTAATAATTTGTTTTCTCACTATAACTAATTTTATAATATTATTTGTGACTATTAGATAAGATATATAGGTATGTTTACTATGTTGTGTGTTGTGCCATTAACAGATTTTTTCTGGTACAATATATATATATATATATATATATATATGTGTGTGATCATTTATCAGTATTATACACAGTTACACAGTTCACATATGTGCAGATATTGCAGATAAGAGCAAGTATCTCTGCTTCTATTTCAATTCTTAGCATATAGGCTAATGCTGCTATGGATCGCTCACCTTGGCAGATGCCAATACATCACACTCAACAGTTAATGGTGTGGTAACACCAGCCATATTTTATGGTTTAGCAAAACGGGCAAATGAGATGTGAAAATGGACAGTTAAGCACTTGCTCAGCTCTAAAAATAGGTCATAGTGGATCTGTGATCAGCTCTGTGCAACGTGAGAACACTGACAAGGAGGCACCTTTGCAGAAATCCTGCAAGGGCAAACAGGTTTACATAGTTTATGACTCATAGTTTATGATCCATATAGGCTGTTGGTCCTTGTAATCTGAGCAAGCAGACTGCTGCTGTAGTTTTCTGTTCATGCCAATTTTATTATCACCCAGTCAAGGAAAGCCATTTGATGTTTTGTTGTTTAAAAAAAATGCTGGCAAGACTTCACAGGTGAGGTCAGAGATAGTCAGGTTGTACTTCCCACTGGAAAAAATACATTTTATTGACTACTGCTCTGGAATTAAATACTGAAACTAGTGACTTTTCTGGCCAATGACACTGATTTAAATCAAATTTTAGAAAAAATCATGTTAAAATGCAAGTATAAAATATGACACTACAGGCTTTTGAGGAATGTTTACTTGTACGTCTCAGTCATCATTGTATTGCATTGCATTCTGTTTTGCTCCACACAATAAAAACTACAGACCTTTGATCAACTAAGCATTTAAATAATATCTTACTAAGACATATTATTGGGAGACTTAGAATCACTGATAACTGATATGTATGCAGTTTATGCTAGTAGTCTGCTGTACTGTTATAAAGATCACACTGATAAACATTGCAAGCTATAAGAATTTCATCTTACTTTTGGCCATATAAATATCAGCAAATGCACCAATTGCATATTTTGTTCAGTTTGGGCCTCTGAATAAAATCTAGGTGTTTCCTCCTTGAGTATGAGCTCCGTATCCTCCTATATCACACTATATAAGCCATAAAAGCATGATGTATCAAATATGATACTCAACAAAAAACACATATGCAAAACCTTTTTTTAAACATTTTGTCTAAAGGTACAAAAAACATTTTAAAAATTTTGATTTTTCTAACTATTATTTAATATGTCAGGCGGTACAGAATGATCCACTAAATGAATAGATTTGAGTCAACATACAGTTCAGATTTAGTGTGTTTCTAAAATCTAGGTGTATTTTTAAAGGATTAAACATCTCCAGACCCTGACCGCTGTGTGAAATCAAGTTTCACAGGGTAATTTGCGAAACCCAACTAATTCCATTCAGCATGGCCTATCTCTCCCTGTAAAACCTCCTTTTCTTACACTGCCTAATCCTCCAATGCAGAACAGTGATTACTGAACGGTCAAAGCTGGAAACAAGGCACTGACCTGCTTAGAAACCATCTTAAACCCACACACGCCAGGTTACCATACCAACTGGCCGGCCTGAAAGAGACAGATAGCTGGATTTGGCTGAGAGTGGCAGAGTCAAATCCTTCATCTAGCCCCTCCCCTGGTGCTCACAAGGCCATAGAAGACAAAACACAAACCTCCCCTGGTCCGCCTTGGTTAACACACAGCCTGCCCACCCTCCCATGTGGAAATCCGAGCATCCAGCACACCAGAAAGAAGCAAGAAGGTCGACCGTGTATCTCTTTCTTTGTGTGTTTGAGAAAGGGATGAGCGTCAACAACACAATCGGGCGGCAAGAGGCTTTTAGCAGTGCCACCCAGAGCCATTCTCCTCCATCTTTCGACAGAATAGAAAATCCCTCCTTGATTATTATTCATGGTACCGATTGTCCTTTCTGGATCTTCAGTTTCCCAACACGTCATTCTAGCAGCGCTGACAAGTGCCAATCAAAGAGTTGGTATCCGCGTCTCAGGGCTGTCCAAACGATTGAGGATTTGGCAAACAATGGCTTCCGAGCCCTCAGTGACAGTGGGAGAGAGACAATGGTGGCAAAGTGACTGTGTCAGTGTGTGGTCCTGTTTTAGGGTGAAATGATCCTTCTCCGAACACGGCTAATTTCTCCTTCCCCATCTCTTTCATTCACGCCCTTAATCTGTTCACCAGTGCCTGGTGTCTTCCAGAACAATCTGCCTGGGTCAGTCCGGCTTAGGCCCTTGTTTTTGTCCAGAATGATGGCACATTCATGTCCCTCTGTGACATCTTCAGTTTCAGCTGAATGCTAAAGACTATAATAAACACTTGCAGGGGTCGCCCGAGTGACCAGGAGAAAAGCAACAGTAGTCATTCCATCACAAAAATGGATTAGGACACCTATGAATTCATTATGAGCTGGGAGCACAAAGGAGTGTTTAGGGAGCCGACACTGGTGGGAATTGGGACCGTGTCATGTGTCATTTTGAACAGTGACCGAAACACCTTTATTAGCGGGTGCGATTTGAAAAGCAATTGTTTCTTTGAGCTGATGAAAAATGTATGGTGTCTTGCAGAAACAAGACACATCATATTATTTTTATAAGGAAAAAAATCTAAATCAATTCAAATCAGACACAAAATCACACACAAATAAGCAGACTATTGATGACTTAAGCCCTGTAAGGCCTGACGTATGAAATAATAGTGCGAAAATTAATTAATTAATTTATTTATTTAAATGGAAAATTTTATTGAACCTTTAAACAAAAATGTTTGCATACCTTTTTTTGTTGAGTGTGCATTTGGCTTTATGGCAGTTTGAGGCCCAAACTGAACAAAAATATGCAAATTGGTGCAGTTGCTCATATTTATATGGCCCATGAAGTCAGAGAAAAATTTAGATATCTTGTAATGTAAATTTTGTAAATCATGTTTGTAAATAATGTAAATCTTTATAACAGTATAGCAGACTACTTACATGAAGTTACTCTATATCTTCAAATAATGTCTTAGTAAGATAATATTTAAATACTTAGTTTTATGACCAAAGCTGTAAAGTCATTATTGTGGGGGCAAAACATACTGAGAGATGTACAATTAAATGTTTCTCAAAAGCCTGATGTGTCATATTTGATACTCTCATCAAAAAAAGTGTCCAGTAAGTGTCATTCTTGAAATATTACTACCAATATAAAAGTTATTCTAACATTATAAAAATCAGTCAATATTTCACAGCAAAAAGACGTGTTCCATGACCTGAAGGGGGACGTTTTTAGAATGATAATAAAAGTTCTTTTGCTTGCTAAAAAGTATATCAATCAGATGACAGAAGGTTTGTAGTAGATTGTGTTCTACTGGTTTTTCAGTTGATAATTCTTTGAACATGTTGATAAATTAGAGGACTTAGATATTTGTGTATCAGATACAGTAGGCTTTACAGGTACATCTAAAAAAATTAGAATATCATGAAAAAGGTCAATATTTTTTGTCACTCATTTCAGAAAGTGAAACCCATATATTATATAGATTCATTACACAGAGTGAAATATTTCAAGCCTTTATTTCTTGAAATTTTGATGATTTTGGCTTACAGATAATGAAAACCCAAAATTCAGTGTCTGAAATAATAATTCTGGCATCATTTATTTACCCTCATGTCATTCCAAATCTGTATGACTGTTCTGCGGAACACAAAAGAAGATATTTTGAAGAACTGTCCATATAGCTAATGAAAGAATTTGGAGGTCCGAAAGAAAATAACTATCATTATATAAGAAAAAAACATTTTTCAAAACATCTTCTTTTGTGATCCACATATTAAAGAAAAGTCATACAGGTTTGAAATGACATGAGAGTGAGTAAATGATGACAGAATTTTCATTATTGGTGAACTGTCCCTTTAACATTAGTGGTTTTGATTGTAAGTGGTATGCTTTCTTCTATCATTTCTCACACTTTCCTCTCTAAAATTGAGACCTTTAAGAGTTTTATTTTATTTTATTATATTTTTTTTTTTGCTTATTTTTGATTAGCACAAGAGTCCCAATCGGTGATAATCCACATGCTCTTCTCAGCGGGAGGCGTTAATCTCATGTCCACTGTTTTAGTCACATTGAGGCCTCTTCAATACCTACTGGCCCTGGGATGACCTCGCACTGACCCCATACTGACCCTCTCCCCAGGAGTGACCATGTCTTTGAACTTTGAGGAGGGTCGTTGCACTCAGACTCTCCCACTGTCTCCTAGGTTACATGAGTAACATCTCTTTTGAGGTGAATTACTTTTACTTGCTCCTTGTGAAATAACTGAACCCAAGGTCCCTTATTCATTTTGTTCTGGTTAGTTTCAAAAGACTAACCGAAAGTATTTTGGTGTTGGGACTATGAATTGGTGTGTAAAATGAGGGGTGTATATATATATATATACACACACACACACACACCTCATTTTACACACATATATGTGTGTGTGTGTGTGTTGTGTTGTGTTGTGTGTGTGTGTATGTGTGTACCTGTTTTTCTATTCTGGTGGGGACTTAAACCTGAATACACACAGACTCATGGGGACTCGTGTCACGGTGGGGACCTAAATTGAGGTCCCCACGGGTAAACAAGCTAATAAATCACACAGAATTAAGTTTTTTGAAAATCTAAAAATGCACAAAGTTTCCTGTGAGGGGTAGGTTTAGGGGTAGGGTTGGTGTAGGGCAATAGAATATACGGTCTGTACAGTAGAAAAACCATTACGCCTATGGAGAGTCCCCACAAGGATAGCTGACCAGACATGTGTGTGTGTGTGTGTGTGTGTGTAAACAGTATTGTCAATACCCCAATGGTGTTATAGCAGAACCACTCACCTGTCAGCAAAGCACTGGGAGAGAGAGGTGACAAATAGAGTGGGACATTCTCATCTGGGAATTCACAACCTTGTGATAAAACAGAGTAAAAAATTTTTTTTTATTTAGTTTTCTTTTATGTTTTTTCTTTTGTGAAACACAAAATGAGAACATTGTTCTTTTCCATACAGTGAAAGTAAAGGGTGAGCAATATTTTGAACAATAATTTATAGTGCAAGAGTCATATAGACTATGTTTATGAAGCTTTAATGATGCGTTTTGTGCTTGAGGCCTGGTCACCATCCACTTTCATTGTATAGAAAAGAGCAGCGTTAAGATTCGCCTGAATTCCTCGTTTTGTCTTCCATGGAAGTAAAAGTCTATGAGTTTGGGACAACATGACAATAGTTGAGTAAAAGATTACATTTTTGCCTAAACTTTCCCCTTTAACAACTCAAAAGACTGAGGAAATTTTTGTTATTGTCCTTGAGCCTTAGAATGGGTTGTTTTGGGGGCAACTTTGTGCCCTGCAGATATGCCAGTCTGAGCTGCTAATGGAGGTGGGCAACTGATCGAGTAACATGGAACATTACTTCCTCAACACAATGACGGATGTTGGTCATTAACGTTATTCTTCAAAGCTATGACAGATGCAATTCACCTCTGTCATAGCAGAATAGGCTTGGACAGGATATTTCCAGTCTGGTTGTGGTTGCATCATGAGAAGTAGGATGAGAGTACATTAAAGAAGCAGACTCTTGATTTTCTTTCTAGGCCCTTATTTCATTTATGTGCATAAGATGGCCACACAGGGAAGACAAGCCTGGCACTAGGCAGCTGCCTCTCAGAGGGATTATGTGGCTTAACTGTACCGGAGACACAAGGATACCAAACACTGGCCTGGCAGTGATGAGAGCTCCATGGAGTGGCACCTTAACTCTGTACACTCTTAGCAACATGCAGGTATTCATCCTGCAGGCTGACATTATGATAGAGCTTTCAGCTTTCCACTGGAAAGGTGTGTTATACTGCTCGTGTGCTGGAATTTTTTTTTACTGATGTAGGGGTATTGAACTGAACGTTGTGGTCACATGTGATCACATCAAAGATGTGTATTTTGCATATTTATGGTCATAATGGTTTCTTTTTTTCTTGTTTTCTAAAAAAAAAAAAAAATTAATTAAGGTTACAGTGAGGCACCTATAATGGAAGTGGATGGGGCCAAAAATTGGAGGATTTAAAGGCAAATGCAAAGCTTATACATTTATATAATCACGATTTTTTTTCAATATAAATAATTTTTTTCAGCAAGGATTCATTAAATTGATCAAAAGTGAAAAGAAAATCTTTTTCTTACCCCCCCCCCCCCCACCCAAACAA